TTCCTGCACTTGGTTTTCCTTGCGTCATGTTTCCCTATTTCTATTGCAACGTGAAAACTTCTTTGTATCTTTCGCAAAATGAAGGGAGTTCTGACATGCGCGTACCTGGCTTTCCTGGCTTTTCACCCTCGGAGCTGTCATGTCTTCCTACTTATCACAAGGTGAGAATAGGGTGGTGTTAACATGTGTCTGTACCTGGCTTCCCCTGCGTCATGTTTCTTCTACTTATCGCAATGTGAAAAGAGGGTGGTTTCAATATGTGTCTTTACCTGGTTTTCCTCTGTCATGTCTCTCTACTTATCACAAGATGCGAAGAGGGTGATTTTTAACTTATGTCTGTACCTGGTTTTCCCTCTGTCATATCTTTCTACATATCACAAAGTGAAAAGGGGGTTTTTGTACCGTATGTCTGTACCTGGCTGTCCCTTTGTCCCGTCTTTCTACTTATCGCAAGCTGCAAACGGCTAGTTTTAACGTATATCTGTACCTGGCTTCCCTTTGTCATCCCTTTCTACCTATCACATTGTGAAAAAAGGGTCTGTATCTGGTTTTCCCTCTGTCATGTCTTTCTACAGATCGCAAGGCGGAAAGGGGGGCGGTTCTTACACACGTCCGAACCTGGCTTTCAGTCTGTCATGTCTTTAATTTTATCGGAAGGTGAAGCAGGGGTGGTTTTAGACATGTGTGTGTACCTGGTGTTCCCTCTGTCATGTCTGCCTACTTATCGCAACGTGCAAAAGGGATGGTTTTAACGCATTTCTGTATCCGGTTTCCCTCTGTCATGCCTTTCTACTGCTCACATTGTGAAAAGAAGGTGGTTTTTTTACACAGGTATGTACCTGGTTTTCCCTATTTCATGTATCTCTACTTATAACAAGATGCGAAAAGGGTGATTTTTAATCTATGTCTGTACCTGGCTTTCCCTCTGTCATGTCCTTCTACTTATCGCAACGTGAAAAGGGGGTGGTTTAAACATATGTCTGTACCTGTCTGTACCAGGTTTTCCCTCTGTCATGTCCTTCTGCTTATCGCAAGGTGCAAAAAGGGTTGATTATTAACGTATGTCTGTACCTGGCTTTCCCTCTGTCGCCTCTTTCTACTTATCGCAATGTGAAAAGAGGGTGGCTTTGAACATATGTCCGTACCTGGTTTTCCCTGTGTCGTGTCTTCCAAAACTTCTTTTATCTTTGCAAGATGGAAGGGGGGTTTTGACATATTCGCATACCTGGATGTCACCCTCACCTGTCATGTCTTCCTACTTATCGCAGGGTGAAGAGTTGTGACGTAACGTGTGTCTGTACCTGGTTTCCCTCTGTCAGGTCTCTCTACTTATCGCAAGGTAAGACGTGGATGGTTTTAACATATGTCTGTACTTGGCTTTCCCTCTGTCAACTCTTCCTTCTTATTGCAAGGTAAATCGTGGATGGTGTTAACATATGTCTGTATCTGGCTTGCCCTCTGTGATGTTTTCCTACTTAACGCAAGGGATGGTTTCAACATATGTCTTCCTACTTGTTGCAAAATGAAAATGGGTTTAACATGTATTCTTCCATCCTCAAGTGCGTTTTCTTTTTGCCTCTTGCAAGATGAAAGAGGGTTTCGACATGTGTGCGTACCTGGCTTTCTCCCTCTCGGTTGTCATGTCTTCCTATTTTTCGCAAGGTGAAAAAGGGTGGTTTAAAGATATGTCTATACCTGGCTTTCTCCTGACTTGTAGGTTTTTCTCACTCGTGACCTCTTTTTTTTGACTCGTGGTTTTCCAAGACTCGCAAGTTTTTTCCTGACTCGTGTCTTTGATTTTTCCGGGCTCGTGCTCTTTTTCCTGGCTCGCGGCCTTTTTCCCGACTCGCGCCTGTTGTTTTTCCTGACTCACGGCCTTTTTCCTGACTCGTGCCTTCTGGTTTTCCTGACACGTGATGTTTTTCTTGACTTGTGCCTTTCTTTTCCTGACTCGTGCTTCTATGTTTCCTGACTCGTGCCTTTTCTTTTTCCTGACTCGTTCCGTTTTTTGGCGTTCATGACTCGTGCCTTTTTCTTTCCTGACTCGTGCCTGTTTTTCCTGACTCCCGCTTCGTTCCCGTTTCAGCCCCATAAAAAGTCAAACAAATAGGGACTGGTTCTGTAAGTCCTTAGATGGTTCTCTGTGTTTCCGTTTCTTCACCGGATTCAAACATTACCTTTGGCATCATTCAAACAAGCTCATAGTAACACCCTACGAGATGTTCATTGAGACATTTAGGGAACCTTGCCCTTCGCTCTTATCATGAACCCACCGCAATCACCGCAGCTTTCAAGCCACATGGTGTAGGGCTTAAGGTTCAGGTTTTGGGTTTGAGAGATTGAGTTGAGCCCATGTGAAGTTCACACATATGAAAGCTTCTAAAACTGGATGTAATAAAATAAAACTTCTAGGACCCCGGGGCTAGATGGTGATCATAAAGGAGGCTTGATAAGAAGTGTTGTGACAAAACTCATACTGCTAGCTGTTGCTTGACCTAGGGAAAACTTCCCTTTCCCATCTTTCTTTTCTGAGAATACGCAGCAAATCCTAAGAAATGCTGAAGGAACGACAAAGAGAGACAACGGAATCAAGCGCGGCACTGCTTCACGTCTTTTCACGCTTCACATTCAGCTCTGCGCTCCTTACCGTCTTAGTAGCTGTGTAGAAACTTCTTGGCACAAAGGATGCCAGAAAGATGATTAGAGGTCTTAGCTTCACTGCTCTTAATCAAACCTGCACGACCCACAAGAGCAGAACAGTTGAAAAGTAGGCAGACAAGCCAGTTGAACTTGAATTTTTGACAAAGCATCGCAAGAATTTTTCTCAAGTCACAGGAGCCACAGAAAAGCCTTCGATCGCAAACTTCTGTAACTTTCCTGCGTGGGAAGAACCTTGGGAGCACAATGCACAAATTACACAGAAACGAGCATGTAGTTGTCAAAGTGAATATGAGCTTAGTATAGGGATACCTTATGATCCCAAGATAGGATGTCCGTGCTTGCAAAATGCATGCAGGTACCAAAGCCACAGGAGAGCTATATCAAGAAACCTGACATCGCTTTTTGCCGCGCTTGCTGTCACAGCTTCGGTGAATGCGGCAGGACCTGGAGAAGATCTTTCCAGCTTTTCCCTCCTGAACCATAAACCGTAAACCCTTATAGTCCCCTCTTAAGTCGATAGACTATGGGGTATATAGGGATATTAATATAATATACCGCCAAAGCAATATTCTATCTACTTAAGGTGGACGAGAACCCTAACAATCATCCTGCACGACCCTGCCCGGTTTATTGTTGCACGTTTCACTTGAAGTCCAGGATTGCTTCAATTAAAATACATCAACACTGCAGGCATGGTCCCTTGTCCAATTCCTAGTTCAAAGGTGCGTTCATCAAGGGATTATGGGGGTTACATAGGTGCTCTGTAAGAATATATAGGGGTTATATAGGGGCTATACCATACAACCATGGCAATACAAGTTCTCATGTTGGGTTGTCTTTGCTGGTCTAGGGCTTGTGTCTCTCAACAGCAGCCAACATATGAGCCTAGTCTAAAGTCCTTAAAGCGGGTAATATAGGGGATTCTATATGGCAGTAGTGTATGGGTTCGTAAGGGGGATACTAGGAGTTCAGATTATACCTCATATTGAATGAAGCTGCCACATCAAACGGAGAATGACCGTTGACAATGATACATGATGATGATGACAACGATGATGATAACCACACTTCTGCCCAGGGCAACATGCCCAACGATCTGATGCCAACCCGCTCTTCAATATCCATGACATTCCAGGATTATTTCTACGGATCCCAACATAGGCCCCATTCTTAGAATCCCCCTTAAGTAGATGGAATATGGTTTTGGGTATACTATAATAAAATCCCCATATACCCTATATTCTATCTACTTAAGCGGGACTATAACATCCCTGGTTCAAGTGTCCCGCACAACTTCCGCATATATCAAATAGGTCATTCACCAAACTGAGGGCGGACCACGAGAGTATACCAAAGGTTTAAGGTTAAGGGTGTAGGGCTTAGAGAATCCAACGTACAACTAACGCCCAAAACGGGACACTGACTTTCTGTAAACTGCAAGAGCCCTCAATGCCCCGATGTAATCTTTCATCAACTGATCAGGTACGACTCCAATATGCACTGCATTGATACATATTCTTCCTCCACGTATCATCCCTGGACCATTTCAATGGGTTCCGACTCCACAAAACCAATACGGTATTTTCAGAAGCTACCTCACCCCCAAAAAAACCCTGAACACCAAAAACTCTCAACACCAAAAGCCTTCAGATGGAAACTGAGAAGGAAACTGGGAGCACATGGGGATTATATAAGGTTTCTTAGATTATGAGCGTTCCGGTAACGCCAACCCCTAAATTTCGGACCCCACAACTATAAAATCACTATAGTAATGGGTGGCTACTTCTCGAGATTGCAATTACCGAAATCCCTGTATTAGATAAGGAGGGACGTTAGGGACTTTGATTTACCATTTGCTTCTGCTCTATAGCGGTTGCCAAAACTGTGGGAGATCCCTATCATATCCCCATATACCTTCTGTTTCAGTGCAAGCTTCCATCTCATCTTTCATTTGAGTCTCCATTGCCAGGGTTGCCAAGTCTCTTACCATGTAACTCTACAAATACATGGAGAAAGATTAAACATCCCTTATGTGAGCCTAAATAAGCCTATATACCCGTTCAAAGGGGCTATACCCCTACATGAGCCCTAGTCTCAACTCCTCGCATCCCCCCTTAATATCCCCTATAATACTCTCCTACATACCCCCCCTCAAGGAGTTTAGACCTTGAACCCTAAATGGATGAAGCTTTTAAGTAGTTAACCTCCCGGTAACTAACATGGAAACCCAAAAGGAGCCCTATAAAGACTACAGTCCTTTTAAAGGGGGGCTATATGGGTTTCCATGTTAGTTTGGGGGAGTGTAACCCTGTCCAGCTTCAGCAAACTCAGGCCGCAGCTTGGAGCGGACATGGGGCTCAAAAGCTCGCGGTCGGCCGCTGCCTGAACTTGCTCCTCGTCCTGGCCAGTTTGGCCAAAGGGAGATGTAGGATTGAGGGGCAAGGAATGGAGTGTTGGGATTTGTTGAAGCTGTTGCACTGTAGAGATTTGGTAGTTTCCCAAGATAGGGTGACCCCGATATAGACCACCAAAATACTATAATATAATCCTTATTCTAGGGACCCCCCAAAAGGTACCCCTAATTTTGGGAAACCCCAAACCCTAAACCGTATAAATCCCTATAAAAACCCTAGGTAACCCCTATAATCCCGTTTAAAGGGTAACCCGAATTTTGGGAAACCCCATTTAGGGATGTTGGGGTTTGGGGGGTTTTGAAGGTTGAAGGTGTTCACCACGAAGCTGAGGGCTTGGGGATGAAAAAGAAGTGGTGTAGTCCAGTAGGTCGTCAGTTTAGGGTTTAGGGTGTAGTCGGATTGCTAAGGTTTGTATGAAGATTCTTTGGGAGAAGTGTGGGTTGAGAACAGACTCTGAAATTCTCCTAGGGTTTAGGGTTTAGGGTTTAGGGATTTGAGGAGTTCAGCAAATTAAGTAGGTTGTAAAGACATACTGTAAATACCCTGGAGTGGCTTCAGGCGATCCTGTTGATGGACAACACATTCGGCATGACTCAGGATTCTGGCGCTGCTGCGATATAGACCAGGTAAGGCAGAATCCCGTCCATCATCTGAGCCATAGTCCAAACTCCTAGTATCCCTCTAGTAAGCCCTGTAGTAGTCCCCTGTGTAGTCCTTTATATACTTTTGGGGAGTTTAGATTATGGCTCATCTGCATCAGAGAGATTCCAAATAGTGAGACCACGGCACAAGGCTTTTCAACACGGACAGACCCTCCAGGACCTTTGGGGGAAACCGAGTTGGGGTTCTTAGGGTTTAGGGCTAACAAATTAGGTTAGGGGGCGAGGGCATACATGAACAGGCTCTCCAAAAAATATGCTATGTTCAAGCCACTCTCATACGCCATGAAATTGCTGAATTTATGAGCCCAAAAACGTGTGTCATTACAACCTCGAAGACTATCATCCCTGGAACCCGCATGTAAACACATGATGGCCCCGTCAAAAAGGAGGGTTCAGGGTTTTGGTTTGAGCATTTAGCCTGAATATCACCAGAAAAACTGTTCTTGATCATGACGACACTCCAAGCCGCTGATTATGAAAAATCGCCGATTGGATCCTGGGACAAGAGAAGAAAGCAACACCTGGAGCAAGTAGACTCGGCACAATGCAAGGATTGTTGGGGCTTCTTGTTGTACCTTCCAGGGGCGAGAAGCCCCCAAAAGATATAGTCCCCCTTAAGTAGACAGACTACAGGGGGCTATATTGGGATAATGGAAAAGAAAATGGACACTACTATTTAGGGTTTAGGGTTTAGGGTATATTCCCCCTTAAGTTGATAGAATATGGCTTTCGGTATATTACAATAAGATCCCCATAGACCCCATATTTTATCTACTTAAGGGGGACTACATACCCAAAAAGTCTGGGGAGCCCTAAACATAGACCCGACATCTATGCCCCTTTGCCAGCAGCACCTGTCTGGTAAGGTTCGGCATAACCAAAGGGAGCTCCACGTAGCCGCTCGGCGCCCCTGCGTTAGCAACCCGTTGAGTTTGACGGCTCGCAGCAAGATTCCAATTTCAGATTGGGGCGTTTCAACCAACAAGATGAACATCAATTTTCAGAAGGTCCACTGTAAAGAAAACAATCCAAGCGCAGAAGAATTAAACCACCTCATAACACTCAAGCACAAGCCCTAAAATGTCAACAGGCACCCTGTGCTGTCGTGCCTGCCGAATACCACTGCATGATTTCAGTTGCATCTGCACGACAGACCCTATGCCCAAGTGGGCGATGCGGGTCATGGGAAGATAACTTATGAAACTTTGGTAGACAGACCTCTGGAAAAGTAGGCTTTTGGAATGCTAATGCTCAGCCCCCTGCCAGACCATCTTAAGGAACTTAAGAACTTGGAATACGGCGCATGTCTCACGCGATCCTTCTAGCTGCACCGTATACTGTGTCTCAGCTCTGGGTTAAGTTTCTGCGTCTTCGTGTGCTTTCAGGGTCAGGGGGGCTTACAGTAGTAAGTAGGTTCATAACGGGTATAACCCATAAAGTAAACCAAATTATGCCCAGTATTAACCTGCTTACTAAGTCAAGCCTAAACCCCAAAACAATATCGTAGTTTCCAATTTCTTTTCCATTATTACCAATTTCCCATGCAACTTACTTCAAATCCCTAAGCCCTCAACCCTAAACCCAACGGTTTCAGGACTTTGGTTTGACAACTCAGCCCCCAACGAAGGCAGAGCTCCAAATGCAGGCGCACGTTGTGAATGGCGCCAAGGAACTCGCCGTCGGCATCCTGCAGCTAGGAAGTTAGGGCTGTTAGGGCTGAAGGCTTGGGGAGACACTAAACTAAGGGGTAGAATATAGGGGTTATATGGGGATATAATGGAAAAGAAAATGGAAACTACTACTTAGGGTTTAGGGGTTTTGGGCTTACTTGGACGTTCAGGGGGACTTAAAAACTAGGTTAGTACTGGGGATAACTACGGTTATTAACCTATTTACTAAGTACCCCTGACCCTCCAAGTAGGGATTGGTGTCTCTGGGGTTCAGGTTTCAAGGTGTGTTGTCTTTTTGACGGCCTCTTTTCGACCTGCATCTGACGGCTGGATCCTTCTTACGAACAAAGATTTTAGGTTTAGGTTGTAAGGTGTAAGTTTGAAATTTTAGGATTAGGGGATTCAAGGCTTAGGCTTGAAGCCTTTGAGTCTAAAAGTCAGGATTTCGGGATGAAGAAGCAGCAAGAGGCCACCTCGGGTACGGATGCCCGCTAAAGGGACTACTAAAAAGAGTTCCAGGGAATCTGCGCTAGTGTTCAGGGGTTGCACAGAAATATACATATATATATATATTTTTGCATCCACATACATATTACATACTGGGATTATATACAGCTGAAAAGGCACTCTGTAAGCTGGTATACAGGTTTGAATACAAAGATATTGTTGAAAAGCTATGTGACATGTTTGTCGTAGCTGTGGTCTTTCGCAAAATACGAAGGAACAGGGCTGAACAGGGATTGAGGCTTCAAATGATTTTATAGAGCCTGCTGCTTGTCGGGAAGGGCATGGGTTGTGAAGGCGCTTCAGAACAAGAATCAGCAGAATGGTTGCACGGACAAACCATGTAGAAGGAAGATATACGAAATGCAAAAATCGCACCAGATAGGCTAGTAGTACCATGTGGACCATGGCAACATGGGCTCAAAAAATTTGATCGAACAAACAAGAAGTCCATGATCACCCCGGTTACTGCTCACCAGTGACTAACCGTTCACCAGTGTTGTGGGCTTCCCTAGCCCCAAACATGACATGAAACCCTAAACCCTCAAACCCCTCAAACCCTTTATGCTGTATGGCTTAGACACCTTGACGCTGGAGATGCGCCACCTAAACGCATGGTGGTAAAACCAACATCTTCCCACATGCATGGGAACCAAGGCGTCCTACGATTCTCATACTACTCATGCCAGAGTATGGTCTTTAGCAGGAGCAGCTGACGGTGTGCTTGAGTAAGCCAACATCAGACCCTACACTCCATGTGGTTTTCTCCCCAGGCTGCAAAGATCGCATTAAATACACCAAGGGAATCCGTAGAGGACACCCTAGCGGTATTGGCTGGAATCAAACCTCGAGATAGCTCTCCATGACTCGAGGAATATGCTGAGTCCAAGTAGGCTTTTTTGACATCATGTAAAGCAACTAGGATGCGCATGGCAGCCGTGAAATCCTTGAACCCTCAAGAAAATGAGTTTAATCCGACTTTCTAAACTCCGCACTTCCCATGTGAGAAATATCATCCGTACATCATCCCGTGGCGTCCAACCATAATACCTTCAAACTGCGATTTTATAAAACCCCTGTATACCCCTATATAACCCTTATATGACCCCTATGTAACCCCTAGATAACCCCTAGATAACACTTATATTATGGGTTTGGCCAGTTTCATGCCTCCGCAGCGACTCGGTGGAAATTTGTGAAATCCTTGGGGCTGCTTTCAAGGTTTGAGATTTAGGGCTTGAGTTTTAGATTAAATCTTAGGGTTTTAGGGTTTAGGGTTTAAGGTTTTCTTACATACTGCTTGATGGTAGGGGAAAAGGGAATATATAGTATAGGGGTTTTACACGGGGTATATACATCCTTATTGCCTACTATGAACCAGCATGCTTCAGGAATTAGAGTCCAGCGTTCCAGAGCCACGGCCCGGCGCAAAAGATTGTGCTTGACAGCCAGCAAAAGAATAGTGAGTCTATTATGTAGGGTCGAGGATTTAGGGAAGATATTAACCGGCCTTTGGTTAGCTGGGAATGAAGGAATGGAAAAAAAAGGGAAACTACTAGAATGGGTAATATAGGGACTTCTATAAGGATCCATTAGCCAAAGGAGGAAGAACAACAAACAAATCCTGTTGCTCCTTGCGAAAAAATTCTCAAGTCCCGACTCAACAGTTGCCCAGCGTCGATAAGGCGCATACGGATGCAGGACTTCCCATGGCCCTCCAGGAATGGCCGGGCGTCCCGGGCCACCAGCAACGATGCACCCCAGAACCGCCATCCTGGCAGATTGCTGGCAGCGTGGCTAAGTGCATCAAGCTCCTGGATGACGTCCATCATCTGCGTCTGCTCCTCAAGGCCTTCTTGTTCAGGCACTGGGCAAAAGAAGACCTGAAGCTTCTGTTGCAAGCTTGCCTCACTCTCTCTGCGACAGTCTTGTTTCGAGATGGCTGTCATTTCACCCGTCGACGGGTCGTAGTAGCGCATCCCGCATAATCGGAAGCCCACGATTGCTGAAGTGCTCTCGGCGCATTTCCGCATCATGCTCTCCCTCTTGACCGAGTTGTGGTGCGGGGCACGCTGTCTGAAGCCTAGCTTCAAGTCCGCTACCGCCGCTTCAGCCAAACCTTCTGTCAGGTCTTCTAGGACCAGGAAGGCAGTGGGGAAAGGTTCCTTGCCAGCTTGGGCGTCAATCTGTTCTGGGGGAATGCAGCATCGGCCGAAACATCTGCATGTGAATCGAGCCAATGAAGCAGGAAGAGATCGGTAGAAACCTTCCTCACCGGGTGTCACCGGCTTGAAGATTAAGCCCTGATGAGCTGGGCTGTGCAGAAATTCCACGTGACCTCCGGCTTGATGACCCACAGCTTGGAAGCAGGCATCGTCCGCCACCTGCAATGCGGGTCCAATCCCTACTCCTTGAAAGGAACATGAAAATGTGCGGCAGATCTACGTAATTTACATGTACATACTTCCATCCAATTTTACGCAACATGAACACCCACAAAAGGCTGTGTAGGTTCAGATCACGGCTGCACCCTCATCCTCACTCAGATATCAATGCTCCAATCTTGACCATGCATCAAGGGCCCAGCGTTATGGATTATTCCATTCGACAGTTGAGAGATACAGGTCTAAACCCTAATTCGCAGCCGCGCCACAGCAAACTCTGGGAGTTCACTGTAGGAATCGTCAGAGTCCTCAGGGTTCTCCGGCCTGTGCAGGGTCACCATACGCAAAGCTCATGCCGGGGAAGCTAAAAAGCACGATGACAGTAGCAATAATCATGGTTTGCTTCGGTGGTGGTGGTGTCACTAGGACTCATTTTGCTCACGGGTTCGTTCCCCTGCTACTCCCCCTTAAACCACGGCCAGTTTCCAAATTAAGTAAGCTGATTTAGGGACACTTCGGCTGCATCAAGGCTAGTTAGGGGGGTAGTATGGGGGGATTGTACAGAAACCCATGATCTACGCTAGTGATAGGCTTAGTCGTCGTCGTAGTCGTCGTCAGCCTTGTCGTCTTCGCGTTGCAATGCTCATCATAGCAATGTTAATGGCTGCACCTAACATTGACCATCCCGCCAGCCAAAACACTGAATTCTCCTAAAGTAGGATATGGGAAGTTGTCAAAATTATGGTCCCCTTGTGGGTACCCTAAATATTAGGTGCCGTATTATGATAGGGATCCAAAAAGGGACCATAATTTTGACAACAACCCATATGTTGGTCGACATATTGAATGCTAGGCGGTCTGCGTTACCGTACGGAAAGGGGATAAGAAAGGACTCATGGAAGATGATGACCGATTCTCTTTCAAGCACACTGCGTCAAACAAGCAACACTGGCCAAAACAAATTTAAGCCAGTAGTAATAGAAATAGTTGTAGCAATAAAAGAAACAATAATAGATTCAATCATAGTGATAATACTAATAGGAATAATATAAATACAAAACTAAGAATAATAATAGTAATAAAAATAGTAATGGTAATAATCAGAACTTCTGTAAAGGCAGCTCTGGGACCTTCCACTTCAGCTGCTAACCAGCGGCACATGCAAAACAGGATGGAGGAATTGTCCGACTCGGGTTTCGGGTTTCGGGGTTTGGGGGTAGACAGCAAGACGCGTCTTCTAAGCAAACTCAACAACAGAACCCTTGTTCTCAAAACCCCTATTCGGAAGACCCCAAACCCCAGATCCAACGCCACGTGACCATAAATGAAGCTGAGAAAAGCACCCAAATCTCATGCAAACAGAGACCCTGAACCCTACACGCTGTGGTGATCAGTTGAGCTGTAGTCTAAACTCCTAGTATCCCCCTTAGTAGCCCTTATAGTAGTTCCCTATATTATCCCCTATATAACCCCCTTTAAGGAGTTTAGACTATAGCTCATATGGAGGAAACCAGGATAAGATTTAGGCTTCAGAGTTTAGGGTTTGGAGATT